AGGGCAGGGACCGTTCACTTCTCTGGGAGGCACCTCTGCAGCTAAGGTATTCTTCCCAATTTTTAATGGTCACACATGGGTGTAGGACCAGCCCGTTCCACATCTCTGCCCCTCCTACCAGTCTCAAGATGGCTTCATCTATATGTGCTTAGTTGTAGGACTTCAGTTCAGCTAGACTTCAGGTGATTCTCAATGCTGGTTGTTCTGTAGTTTAGTTGTATTATAATTTTGATGCGGTCGTGAGAAGAAGTAAGCACAGCATTTATCTACTTTGCCATCTTGATCAGAAATCTAAATGTATACAATTTAAAATTTCAATTATATCTCAGGAAAACTGGGGTGATAAAAGATTGAATTATGGTTTTTTTTGTGGCCAAATTCCTGAATAATTCTTATTGAGAATCTGAAGAGAAATTAGCTGACTAGGAATTTAGAGGCATATACCACCAGAAAGTTCTTAAAGTTAGCTGTGATAAATATATTGTTGCTACTTCCTTAGTAAATTAAACAAGTCTCCTGTAGTGTATCTTTCTGTAGCATTGTTACCTTAAAGAGAGAATGTTATATTGACCTGTATTATAAGTGATACATAAAATCTAACTCATAAAGAATGATTCAACTTTTAGATTAGTTCAGTAATGTCAGAAGTGATTAGAATTTTAATTAAAGTTAAGTACTAATTACCACATCCTTTTACCATTAATTGCCACTGCTTTTGTACTATGAAATAACAGTAATTGTTGAATAATTTAAGATGACCATATTTTTAATCTTGGCCAAATGAGAAAAATATCCTCATTCTTCATATTAACATCAGTTGGATTACTTTTGAGTAGGTCTTGAAGTTAACTGGGTATATTTTGTTTGTTCTAAGGTATGTAGTAGGGTTTTTGGATTGCAAATAACCACAACCAACTCTTAAGCACAAAGGGAATTTGTTAGATTGATATCAACTTGTGGAATGGATAGAAAGACTAGAAAAGTAGGCCTGGAAAGAGGTAGGCTGAAGCACTTCAGAGGGCTGGGAAGTAGGAACTTTAGGAGTGTCACTCTACTGGTATGTTTTTTGNTTTCCTCTAATGTATTCTTCCTTTCAGTTATTGTATTCTTTATTTTTGACTGGTTCTTTTTTATGTTTTCTAGCTCCATTTTTATATTTCCTACCTTTTTGTCTAAGTTGCTGAGGTCATTGAGCATCCTTATAACCAGTGTTTTGAACTCTGTGTCTGTAGATTGCTTGTCTCCATTTTGTTTAGTTGTTTTTCTGGCGCTTTGTTCTGTTCTTTCATTTGGGACGTGTTTCTTTGTCTTCCCATTTGGCTGCCTCCCTGTGTTTGTTTCTGTGTATTAGGTAGGGCTGCTATGTCTTCTGGTCTTTGTAGAGTGACCTTATGTAGTAGGTGTCCTGTGGGGCTCAGTGGCGCAATCTCCCTGGTCACCAGAGCTGGGTGCTCCAGGTGTATCGCTTGTGTGGGTGGTGTGTGCCCTCCTGTTGTAGTGGAGCCTTGGTTGCTGTAGTTACATCAGTAGGAGGGATTGACCCTCAAGCTGATTGGTTGTGAGGACTGCCTGTGTCTACAGTGGAGGAGCTGTTGTATGAGGGTTCACTTTAGTGGGGCTCTGGTGCCTACCCAGTCTGCCCTTAGGGTGTGTCCTCCTTGGAGGTGGCTGGGTGGTGCTCCAGTCCAAATCTGGCCACCAGGTGTGCCAGCCTGTGGGCCTCCTGGGAGGGAAACAGCTGCAGAACAAGTTCAACTACAGCTTATGCCCTTCCTGGGGCCATCTGGCATGAGCTGCAAAGCAATCCACAAATGGCTGCCACCTGCACTGGACTTGGAGGTGACTTGAGAGACCAAGCTGTGAACTGAGATTGGCTGTCACTGGTGCCAGGCTTAGAGCTGCTCAGCCAGAGGTATGGGAAACACCAAAGCCAAGTGCTGCTTCTTTGGGATTTGTGAACCTTTGAGAGATTTTGGGAAAGTACAGGGCATGACCCAAAAGAGGCCATTTGTATGGAAAAGCCACTGAAAGCAGCTTGGTTGTTGCCTAAAAGTTGGAGTGGACAGGGACTCAGGAAATTAGCAGGGTGGGATGAAGGAATGGTGTTAGCCAGGTNACATCATATGAGGAAGATCAGTGTAATAAAATATTAACTAAAGTATTATTAGCAGCAAATAGTTTATCTGGGAACATTAAAGTGTCTTTTATTGGGACTATATATTTTTAACTGAGATGAGCTTCTATTATGAATTTAAATGCCTGTAAATTGCTCCACATTATTAGAGGAGGGGGTAAATATACCCTGCTTAATGGCTCAATTCATGTGACAAATGCTCACAAACTGAATTTTAGCAAATAATTGACAACTTGGATGTTAAATGCTATTTTAAAAAGAGACAGTAACTGCGTTTTTACTATATTTGTTTTTACTTTAAATCCCAATGGCATTTTGCACAAGAATAGACAAAATAATCCTAAAATTCATGTGGAACCACAAAAGACCTTGAATAGCCAAAGCAATTTTAAGAAAGAACAAAGTTGGTGGCATCACATTTCCTGATTTCAAAATATTTTATAAATTTACAGTAATCAAGACAGCATGGTACTGGCATTAAAACACGGATCACTGGAGCAGAATAGAGAGCTTTGAAATAACATCCATGCATCTGCAGTCAACTGATCTTTGACAAGGGTACCAAGAGCACACATGGGGACAGGACATTCTCTTCAATAAATGGTGTTGGGAAAACTGGATATCCATATACAGAAGAATGAAATTAGACACTTATCTCATACCATTTACAAAAATCAACTAAAAATGGATTAAAGACAAACATATAAGACCTGAAACTGTAAAACTACTATAAGAAAACATAAGGAAATAACTTTATGACATTGCTCTGAGCAGTGTTTTTTTTGGATGTGACGCCAAAACACAGGCAACAAGAGTAAAAATAGAAAAATGGGATTGTATCAAAAAGGTTCTACATAGCAAAGGACCAATCAACAGAATGGGAAAAAATATTTTCCATCTATCTGATAAGTTAATGTCCAAAATACACAAGGAACTCACAACTCAATAGCAAATANATTATCTTGATGGTATATTAACACAAACAGGTATTTTTTTATCCAACATTTTTTAAGCTTCTAAATTACAGGAATTTATAATAATTTGTTATATAATAACCATCTGTACAAATATCAAGGCATTGTAGAATTTTGAAGTGCTTAGGAGACAGTAGATAATTATTGTTATGTTGATTTTGTTTCTGCATTAAGAGGAATCTGTAGATTTTTCTGCTCCTTTGACAACAGATAATAACCAGAAGTCCCCATTTCTTAACCAGCTGGATAAGCAAAAATTGGGTGTAAAGATTTACATTTGTTTGAAAAATTATTTTCTTTTCCATTTTTAGTGGATTAAATAGACCTCCAAAAGGGGTGAGGCAAAAGTATAACAAAGATCAATCATATTGTATCCATAATAAAGACAAAGTTTAGGTGAAAAATTGGGGAGAAATTCAGAAATTCAATAAATTGAAGAAAAGCAGTAAAGAACATGTCTTTAAATTATTTTTTGTAAGAAGAAATTCAAGTAGCATGTTACCCTTGTTTTACAGAAAGAGTTATCAAAGTCTGGACCAGTTATCAGCTGAGGTTAGCCTGTCTCAGAGTTCACTGGATCCAGGTCAGTCACAAGAAGGAGACGGAAAACAAGACACTCTAAATTCGATCAGTGAAGGTAAGGGGGGGAAGTCTATTTGAAAATTACTTTTTCCCACACTATCTATATTTTGATTGCAGAGGATTTCTGGAAAATAATAGTGATAGAATTATTACTTAATAGTGAAGAATAATACTTCTGTGAAGCAGGCTAAGAATTAAGCTGCCAGTATAATTAAAAATGGCCTGCTCTTGTTTTTTTCTCATGTGTTTGTGGCAAACTTTGAAAGATTGTGATTTTTACTTTATTTCTTCACTTCCTGTACTCTTTTCTACCCACTCCAGTTTTGTGACTCTACCACATACTGAAATGATTTTTATCAAGGCAATGGAACACTGCCATATTGCTAACATCAGTTCTCTGTCTTCATCCTATTAAACTTCTCAGCAGCTATTGATACAATTGACCACTTCCTCATTCTTGAGTCACTTTTGGGAACGTTGTTTACTGAGTGCTCTGAAAAACTTGGAGAATAAACATAAGACTTGTACTTTTCCTGTTACTGCTTTCAGCTGTGCTCTTATCAACCACTCTTTCCATTGGATTGCGTCTTTCTGAACAACATCTTGGTCCAGTTCCATAACTTTCCAGGCAACTTTCAAAGATTGTATTTCAGTTTCCAAGACTCAACCTATTCATTTTCAAACTTCAGTAGCTTAGTTGGTTCAAAGTTCTTTGCTTTCCTACCTTCAACATAGGCTAGAGCTGTGACTTTGGATTGGACACGTGGTGCTGGTATGATGACATGGTGCTCACATCTTTTCTCTCACCTTCTTCCCAGTTCTACATCTGCTGGTGTGTGAGAGAGCTGGGGAGACCCCAGCAGTTTCTTGCCTCAGGGGAACCTGCATTCCTCTGTGCCTCCAGTTTCTTCCCTGTCTTCTCACATTGCAAAAAGTGGCACCACCACAGGGATTATCCTAGATTCTACTCTTTCCCCTTACAACTGCAAGTCAGTTTATTAGCAAGTCCTGCCAGCTCTCCATTCAACACATACTATATACATGGACTCACCATCCTCCCCATTACTGCAACCCAAGCTGTGCCACCTGGAGCAAGCCTGCTGGGTGGACTGTGGCCACAGCTTTTTCATTGCCTTTCATCTCTCTTTCTTGCCCTCTCACAGTTCATTTTCCATATAGAAATTAGCAATCTTTGAAAACATAAATAAAAAAAATATTAAACCCTCACTTAAAAATTCTCCAGTGGCTCTCAATGACAAGCAGAATAAAATTCAGACTGCTCACCATAACACTGTAATTGTTGATAGAAAAGGGTGAGAAGTCGTTTTTCTCAAGAAACATTTTATTAAGCCCCTCATATGTGACAAGTGTCATGCTAGTAACTACTAGTAGCCGCCGTATTTNTAGATTCCACATATAAGTGAGATCATATGGTATTTGTCTTTCTCTGACTGACTTATTTCACTTAGCATAATGTTCTCTAGTTCCATCCATATCATTGCAAATGGAACGATTTCATTCTTCTTTATAGCGGAGTAATACTCCATTTCCATTTTCTTTTAATTTGCCTTTATTTGCTACCCAATTCTGTATATTGAAATTTGTATTTGAATGATTTTAAAATTGAATGCAGGGGGTTTTATTATGACCCAAATGCTCATAACATGTAATTTCTAAGCTTAATTTCAATTAATTTAACAATGTAATGAATGACATAGATTAAAGTATAAACTTTTATGTAGTCATAATGCACTACTTCTACTGTCTTGGGTTCTTATTTTGATCAAGCTATTACTATTTTCAAAAGTCTACCCTGAGAAATAGTAATAGACTGTTCATTGGTTTGATGTGTCTGGTGGGTTACATTGAAATCTTACAATGTGATATTAATGAGTCCAGATTTCTAAGATAGGATCTAGTGGTGACCTTTTAAAGACAGAACTCCCAGAGTTAGTTTAAAGAAATAACTCCCGTAGACAGTTTTGCTCCATGACAACAACATGTTTGTCAGATGGAGTTGCCAATCGCATTGGAAATCAGGTAAGAATGTGGAAACCCAACCCATTCTTTGTCATTGGTGAAAAGCAGCTGAACTAGCCTTTCTCCCAGATGGTGGGTCTGTAGTCATTTTCAGGCAAGGAAGATACTGTATGGTACTGTTCTTAATATCTTATGAATAAGGTGCTTAATTTCGACTTGGAATTTTTATTATTGCTGCAGAACCTCATTGTTTACCAAATTCTATTCCTGTATTCATTGGCATTTGGTTAAGTAAAGCCTNAATGAATGAATGAATGAATGAATGAATGAATGCAATGTTAAAGTATCTTAATAATCCATGTAAAATTTTTCATTCCTTTTCCAGTGAAATGAAATTGTTGGACCTACTGTAAAAGAATATGTTAATGGACCTACTGTAAAAGAATATGTTAATGAGATACATTCCCACTGATTTTTGCTTATTTCACTTGTAATATTCCATCCTGAGAGATAAGCTGGTGCTTACAGCAGATAATATTTTTTTTGGTGAACATAGTGAAGCAAATTCTAGTTTTAAATGCACACAGATAACTTGTAAAATCAGAAATATCCATATGTAGCCTGTTAAGAGATATATTAAATGGGGTTATTCCATTAGAATCGTGTTAACAGCCAGAGCTGTTGTTCAGGTTAATTAGTGCAGAACTGTCTTGCTAGCACACCCCTGACTGCCACCCACAACAGGACTATTGTCTCTGAAAGTTAGTGGCAGGCACATGTTACTTCCTGCTTTTGAGCCGGTGGCTCAGAACCTTGGTTCATTAAAGTCATCATAGACTCCTATTGGAGAATGCAGGTTGCTGTGTGGTGTTTTAAAGTTTTTCAGAGATAGAATAAGGCCTGTGCAAATAGAATATTGCTTTTAAATTATCTTAAACTGTTGCCGAACTCAAGGGGTTCATTTTGCCTACACTTATCAAAGCCAGTGGAGACATGAACCGGAGTTGGTAGCAAAGTAAGTAGAGGTTTATTTAAAAAAATGGCATCAAGCCCTGAGACACAGGTGAGCTATGCTTACGGACCTGGCTCCTTGATGGCATGTAGGTTACAGATTAACAGGGCAAAATCCCAAGACACTGTGGGTTAGGAGTTTGGGGCTGTGTTGAGAGCTGACTGGTCAGGGGTAAGGGAAGGGTAATGAATCATTTCTTCAGATCTTGAGCACAGTTCTGAGGTATTTTCTGGAGTTCCTCTGTCTGGTCTCATGGGAAAGTAGCCAAAGGGTTGCTCCACCTTAGGGCTCAGAGCTGAAACATAACTTAGGTCAAGATGTTATCTTTAGTCTATCAGAGGTCAGGGCTATGTGACAATTAGTCAGATCTGGGCTCCTGTCCTCTGTTGCCTATGGGTTGCTGATTTATCCAGGGGAAAAGCTAGGTCTTGGGAGGGTGTGGGGGTGGTTTGTGTGTGGTGTGTGGAGAGAGGGAGAGAGAGATGATTTCTAGAACTAGGATTTAAAGCTAAAATTAATCAAAGTTCATAAACACCAGTTCAAATGTTGACTGTCTTGTGACAATCATCAGTTTGTTCGTGAAATTGAAATTTCCAAAAATCTAGCCTAATTCTTTTGCAAGTTCTTATTAACAAGTAAGAGTTCCACAAAAATGAAAGGAAACCATGAGTTGTTACAATGGCTTTATACTGTAGTTGAAATCTTTCCAGGGGATTATATTGTTCAATGCAGTTGTCACTGATTTAATTATTTTCATGAGGATTTGGTAGTTGTCATTTCTACCAAAAACAATTACGAGAACCTCATGGAGTTTTTATTTTATATGTTTCTGCATTTTTAATTCACCTACATTTTTGGCTTGTTTACTGAGTTAAATTACTTTAATAGATTGGTGAATTTTGAAGCTAGAAAATCATACACATGGAATCTTTACTTTCCTTCATATTTTGACTGGCATTTGATAACCTGTTACTTTAAG